CGCTCCTCAGAAACCCTATATGGCATCACTATGAGTCAGAACTGACTTGACGCCATTGAAAAACAGCAGCAAAGAATGCATGTGGCAATATTACAATCTTTATAAAAGAATCACCGATACCAACTTTCTCAGCTAATCTTATCTAGGTTATTTTCTCCAACCTAACATTATTGATATCTCTAACAGCAACAACATTAATTTCAAAGCCACCAGAAATAAAGCAATTACAAAAGAATACTGAAATTATTACTGACCCCAGTCTCATAAATCAATATAAATGTCAAGAGTCACATGCCTATCATCCTTTTTTTTTTAACAATTTTTTATGGTTTGGGTGAAGTTAATTTCCCATTCAATAATCTAGACAATTTTGTTTTGTGGCATTAATTGCAATCCCCTCAATGTAAAAGCACTCTTCCTATTTCCTCCTGGATTCCAGGTTTCCATTTGCCCATCTGTCCGCTTCTTCCTGCTTTCTGAACTTTGCTCTTAGGCATATGCTGCCCTTTTGGTCTCCTATGGTTGATAGTTCTCATTTTTTCTTAATGAATTTGGGCCACAAAATGAGTTCCCCATTGCTAACCACATAGAAAACCAAGTTTATCTACCAACAACAAAAACATAAAGGTGGGGAAACGAGAGAAGAAAAAGCAAACAGAACTGAGAAGTAACAGGTTCAATGGAATAGTATTTGAAAACTGCAATAGTCTCTACAGGAAAAATATAACTATATTAATAAGATATGAAATTAATTTCCTATGCTATCATCACTAATATATCTTCTAGAAATTAAATCCTTACAGTACAAAGTAACATTTCAAGTACATGGAAAACTGTCATATACATTGTTGTTGTTATTGTTGTTGTCAGGTGCCATCGAGTCAGAACCGACTCATAGCGACCCCATGCACAGCAGAACGAAACAATGTCCGATCCTGGGCCAACCTCACTACCGCTACCACACTTGAGTCCATCAATGATGCCACCGGGCCAATCCATCTCGTTAGGGGTCTTCCCTCTTTTTCTCTGACCCTCCACCTTACCCAGCATTACATCCTTCTCCAGCGACTGTTTCCTCCGGACAATATGTCATATACATACACAGTCCTAAATTTCTCTTTAAAAACTGATTTCACTTAACAAAACTTGTCTTAAAAGACTGAAATAGATTTGACTATTGAAAATCAATTGTTAAAATTTTATAAATTAATCTTCTCATAATGAATATTCATCCATTAAGTCACTGAAGTAATTACTCCATAAACGACTTAATTTTTTAAAATTATTAAACTGTCATCAAATGAGTAAATAGCAAATGGCAAATTTCAAAATGAAAAAAAAACTGAAAACCTCTCCACTTGCAAATTTAAAAACAAGAGATCTGTATATTTTCATAGTTATTATGAGAAAATAGATTGGTTCATACAAAAATTAAAAGTATGCCCAGCTACCTTTCTCATGTTGCTAAAATAAAATTTAATACTTAGTACATATAAATGCATCTTTTTCTATTGTCTAAATCTAAGCGTAAAATTAAGGTGGCTATTTCTCACTAAACGTTAATCATTTAGTATTCATTTGGACTCCTGGTGTAGCACCATTTAGGATGAGCACAGGAATGAGAACCACAAAGCTGGTGGTTCAATGGTTCAAGCCCATCAGCTGCTCCTCAGAAGCCTTGTAGAAGGTCCCTAAAAGTCGGAACCTACTCTTCTGCACTTAAGAACAAGAACTTAAAATCTACATTGATGACTGTATTATGCAACGTTTTAAAAAGAACAGCAATAAAATTTATTTTTCCTTATATTAAGAGTCAAATAACTACAAATTACTCCTTTCAGATGCACCTTACTCTGAGGTTTTATGAAAATAAAGTTTGTAAATTGTTAAATAATTAGGTGGCCCAATCATATGTTCAGATAAGAAATGCAAAAAAATAATATAAAATATTAGCTATTACATTTCCTTAACTTCAAAATATGGTCATTTCAATAGTCACTAATCTTAAAAAGAAAAAAAGTCACAAGACAGTTAATTTCAGTAATCACTGCACTCTACAAGCTACAAACAATCCCTAAATATGTTCACATTTCAAAAGACAAAAAACCTATCAAGCAACTTACACAGAAGCCTGAAGTGTTCATGCAGTCTACTGACACTAAATATTTTATAGCCTCACATACACTATTTTCCAGACTGACTAATGTTAAGAATAAAACTCTACAAAATTTTTTTTAATTCAATTTTTCAAAAAATAGTTTTTTTTAAATGAATTATAATCCTCTATTTTCCTTATGATCAGAATCCCTTCATTATTATCTAGATAAAGGAATTTGAATTTTAACATGTCAACTACTGAAATATACACTGTAATTTACCAGAGACAAAGTCTTCAGTGGCTATTTTAACACACATACACTCACTAAACAGAAACCAGTAAAGCAAACCAAAGTGCCTTGTTATATCAAAATTACTAGGAGTACAATTATCAAAAAAGCAAGTCAATCACTACCTTTTTTTCATTAGTGACTTTGTCTCAACATTTAGCTCAGTAAAGCCACAACTCTAGAAATTAATTGCTATTAGTCATTTGATATAGTATTTGATTCTGCTTCCTATGCATACTGTAACTACAGTTTTAGAGAAAGTTTTAAACATGAAATTTCATGTGTACAGGCTCGCATACTCTGAAATTAATGGAGAAACTGCCAATCATCTCAACGCTCACATGTACAAACCTGACAGTAATTTTAAAGTCTTACAACCTGTTCACAAATTAAAATAAATATTGGAAAACTGAAAATATCATACACACTTTGAATGCTGACAGAAGTCTAAGTCACTATCAGACAACATTTTAATTACTCTCTTGAATGGGAATTTTAGAGACAAAAGTAAAATAAAATTTAATAAGCTTGTTTCTATATATCTAAATGATTGTCTTTAAGTCACACCAATCCAATCTCATAGACTACCTTTGAAACAAGATTAATCAGAAGAGCTTTTCATTATTAATTGGGTTGTTGCTAAGTGCCATCGAGTCGATTCTGACCCATACCGACCCTATATAGGGTTTCCAAGGAGAAGCTGGTGAGCTTGAACCACGGACCTTGTAGTTGAAACGACTTTGCGATCTGACAAATTAACCCACATCGCCACACCATTAATTGCGAAAGCGGATGAAATTCAGCATTGGTCAAGTTTTTCAATTAATACAGCCTCAACGATTTTAAAATATTTATTTAAAAAATTTTTGAAACCAAATAGAATACTATAATTTTGTAGGTTGTAAAGCTACTTTTCCAGTAATATTTATCTTCAAAACAAAAACGTGGGTAAACCTAACTGCATTTTGGTGCAGCTAACATAATCAAAAGCAATAAAATCTCTTCAAATATGAAACAAAATCTTCAAAAAATAAAATATTCCCCAAAACTCTTAGCAGGACACTTTAATATGCTATCTTTAAGTCAAATAATTACTGATATTTACTAATAAGTAATTTTTTATTAATACATAGTTTTAACTATCGTCCACTGCTACAATTTATATCAACAAAGTTTTGTTCTTAATAAAGGCCTTGTCTGAACTAAAAAGCTTAAGTCATTTCAGGCCAATGATTTAATTGTTTTCACACACTTTATGGAGAGGCCTACCCTTAACTCTTAATTTCTGTGAATAAATTACTACTTTCCATCTGAAGGAAAGAAAAGAAAAAAAAAACTTCTATTTAACCCCCCTTCCTTAATCAAAACTAGTTTGTTTTACCTGAAACTGCAAAGATTAATGTCTTTAGATAACCACTATCTTTTGAAGTACAAAGACCTAGCTTTTAGACAACCAAAACCATGCACCGTTAAAATTCTTGGTTTCTGTCTTATTCAACAAGCTGACTCAGTAATTTTAGTACAGTAGTGTATGAAAAAAGCTAACGTTTTACCGACAATTTAAAGCTTAAGTAATGCATTCTGGATAGCATTTCTAGGTATTATTACCAAGTATACTTTGACATTCAACACAAGTCAGTAAACTAACGTATACCAATAGGTGTCAGAGGATCTGAAACTTAAATAAGTAGCAATTCTGGCATCACAATGATACTTAAATTTCAAGTAAGAACTGAAGCACTTTACAACCCCCCTACAGGGCAGTATCATTTGGGATCAAAAACTAGGCGGGCTCCATGCTATTACAAAGAGCACTTAATATAAAATACTAACGAAAAGCAAAACTCATTCACCTATCCTATATCACCCCATCAGGAGAGAAAAAAGGAAATTTAACGGAGATCTAGTAAGGGCGCCTGCCAGAGTCTATCATGGCTCTATGGATTGCAAACTAGCAAACTTCTAAATACATCTCCAAGTTGTCATTAAGTTCGTTTAAACACACAAACCTACTTTGGCCCTCAAACGCGCACCCAAGAGATGCAAAAGGAGTCGGCTTCTACGCTTATGCAAATTAAGCCCTCAATTCATATTTTAAACGAATCTATTAACGCAACTCAGGAAGCAGAAAACAATCACTGCAAGATTCTGATGCCATAAACGTACATGCAACACTCATTTTCATTTTAATCTGATCTATACTCTAGATCTAGGGCCTAGGCCAAGATTTAATCGAAATAGGCTCAACCTCAACGCGTCGACTTTTTCGTTCATTTTAGTGGACCGGATTCGCGAGGTTTCTAATCCACTCCCAGTGCACCATACTCTGTATTAACGGACAATAACCCCCAAGAAGATTCCACTGAGAGAGACAAGAAACCCATCGGTATTTTGACACTTGCAGCCAGCCCACAGTTCCAGCTAGCCGCACATACCCTAGGCTAAAGACATTCGAGAGACACCGAACATACTATCTAATCCAGCACTTCGACTCTGGTTAAATGGTATTGTCACCCAAGCTATGAAAATGAATCGCATCCGTCTACTCCCACGTTCTAACAGAGAGAGAGAGTGACAGAAAGGCAGAGGGGGAGCAGCCGCAGAAATGGATACAGGTCAAGTCTAAGTCGAATCCATCCTCTTGATATCTCCTTTTGTTTCTGCTAACGATCTCTTTGATGATGGCTGTCATGTCTGGGAGCCTGTGGCTGAAGAAAAAGGAGGAGAGAGATGGCAGAAGCTGCTGGTGCCGGGGCTTCTTCTGCAGGATGGAAATGGCTCTGGACTTGGCGGTCGCGGATGCCCCTCGCTCTGCTGCCGCTTGGCTCTGGACCGCAGCCGGGTAATGGCTGCTGCGGCGGCTGCTGGATGGTTGCAGTGACTGGGCCTGCTTCTCCTCAGTAGCCAGAGGCCTGGCAGCGGCGGCGGCGGAATAAGGCGAAGACGAATAATCCTCGGAACGGCTGCCTCCCCCGACGGCCTCCAGAGCCCGGGCCAAGGGGGGTGCGGCGGCGGCGGCGGAGGGGAGATTTAAAACCGGCCCAGGTCCCTGGATATGCCGCCGCCGCCGCCGCCGCCGTGTTGGAGGCAGGAGAAGGGGAGAGACCAACTCTCCGGCGTTCCCAGCCCTGGAAATGGTGACAGGCGACTCCGACCCCCTCCCTGGAGCTGCTGCAGCCGCCGCGGCCGCCGCCGCTTCTTCCCCCCGCTCCAGGAGCGGGAGGTGCCGCCGCCGCGCCTCCGCCGGCTCCTTCCCGAGCCCACGGCTTCCACCTTCCCTTTCAGGAGAAACCAAGGAAGAGGCTGCACGGTTAGAAAAGGCGACGAAGAGGAGGCGAGAAACGCCGCCGCTGTCGCCGCCGCCGGCCGGCCGGCTCCCCGAGGGCGCTGCCCCCGCGGCTGCTCACAGGCGCTGAGAGGGGCTCTGGGCCGCGGCCGCCGCCGTCTCTCATCTCCCTCGCCTGAGCCCGGCCTCGCCTCACAGCGGCTCAACTCTCAAACTTCCATCATGGCTGCAGCTTCCGAGAGGAGAGAACTAAGCGCAGCGCGTCGCAGCGCGTCGCGCACCCAAACGCGTATCCTGCCGCAGTGCACAAAGAGTTCCGCCACATCACCGCGGGCCTGCCCACCCCCTCCGCCGCCTCGCTGGGAACCCGGGCGCCTCGGAAGCCCGCGGGGAGGCGGGAGGCGGACGGGATCGCGACTGGGGAGGGCAAGGCAGAGGCGGGAGAGAGGGAGTAAAGTGACGGCTCTCGGTGCGAGCGCAGAACCCCCAACCTGAAGGCACTAGTGAGCATGCCCAGTGTGGCTGCCGGGGCTCGCTCGGGCTTGTTCTAAGGCGCCTGCCCGTTTCTGCACTTGCCACCGCTGCTTCTACAGCAACGCGGGGCGGGGACTGAGAGAGAAGCCTCCGGCGCTGCCCAGAAATCTAACAGGGTAGGCCACTGCGGAGGGAAAACTGAAGATGGAAAGCTAAGGCGGTTGCGCTGAGCATTATCACTGACTCGAGTCTAAGGTTACCTGTGCACAGGTGGAAAAGGCCAGGTGACCTCGCTGGTCAGTGTATAGGGAAACGCTGGGAGGGTTTCTGCAGTAAGAACACCCCTCCCCCTTCCTCTGCCCCTTGATTTCCCCGGCCTTTCGTCTCGCCCCTAGTGCACCGCTGTCGGATCAGTCATTCGCAAGGATTTGACTGCAACAGGCTTTGCCGAAAAATCCCACTACTTCACGCCCCCACCCCCCGGTGTCCTCAAGGTGTCAGTCTCAGCACAAAGAACAGCCCCCTATTGTGTCTCCCGAGTGTGTCTCCTCAACCGAGTCCCTTTCAACGCCCCACCTCCCGCTTCCTTGACAATTAGGATCTAAAAATAAAAACAGCGGAATACGCTAAAATGTGAGTTATCACCTCTGAGTTCTCAGGTGCCAAAGGACAATTGTCTAGGTGAATCAAAAGCAAATCCCCTTAAGTGGGATGCAACCCTCTGCCACCTTTATTGCCCCGGACCTCAGGGCTCCAGGTCACATCGCGAGGAACCCAAGCTCCGTCCTAACAGTCCACCTCGCCCCGCCCCTTTTCGGCCACTGCGAAAACCCGGCTGGGAGAATTGCCCCGGGGCCTGGTTCTGGACTCCCCGAGCCAGGCAGTGCACTCCCCAGGCCTGGGTTGCAGCCCGTGTGAGAAGTAGGTGACGGTAGGAAGCAGCAGCCTTGAAAGTGGGCGGAGCCGAAAAGACCTAGGAGGGTTCAAAAGGAGGTGGAAGGATACTGGAGCCACTGTCGGAACTACTTTCAGGGAGGTCACGTGTGCTCCTAGTTGGGGAACTTTCCAAATTCCCACTCCCCAATGATAGCTCCTAGAAGCAAGTGCTGCATATCTTTCGCCTGGAGTGTTCCTTACACGTGCACGCAGCGGGACCTCACTTAAGACTCTCCTAGGCGGCTGCGAGAAAACAGGCTCAGTGGATGCTCCTGTCGGAGCGCTGTCGAGACTGGCGCCTGGGGAGCTGGTTACACAAGCACCCACATCCAAACACGTGCCCCCGCCTCCCCAAACGGCTGGACGCAGTCGCTTATTTTTGCAAACCATTGGCTCCCAAGGTGGTCCCTCCCTTCTCCTGTTACCCATAGAGCAAAAAAAAAAAAAAAAAGGCGGGGGGGCCGACACTTTAGACTTTCAGCTTTCAGCTCTGAACCGGCAAACACTGCGCGTTCCCAACCGTCCAACCGTGAGAGAAGAGGCTGGGCCTGGGGGGTCGAGCGCATCCCCCTCTCTGGTGCCTGGCCCTTTAGGACGCACCTGGGTGGTTGGCTGTACGCTGGCTAAAAGGGAACTAGCACGCTGCTTAGTACGCTGATGTAACAAACTTCCAGTCACTACCCCGAAGCAGGTGAGCGCGCCCCACCTACTGAGGACTTGGCCAAGTGACTTACTAGTGAATGGCCTTCAGTCAGCCCAGAAGAACGGTGTCAAGTAGGTTTACAGCCCCGATTGGCTGACCGATCCCTGAGAGAAAGTTGGTTCAGAAATGAATTTCTGCCCTTCCCCTCCCTCCCCCAACTCCAATCGGCTACAAAGCAAGTGATTCTACCTTCTGCTTGAAGATAATGAGCATCGATCAAAACCCATATTTTATTCTTTTCCCTGGGAAGTGGAACTCAAGGCAACAATTTGAGTCCAAAAGTATTTGATTTGGGAATTCCAAATATGCTGGAACCATGCTAAGATATTGGGTTATTTTTCGAAATTTGGAAGAATGGGAATCAGTGTGCATGTGTGTTGCAAGAATTGTGAGTAAATGCCTAGGAAAATCTAAAAAGAATGTATGCAGTGAGAAAGAGGATTGTGTATGTGCTCATCACAGTTGCAGGCAGCCCCTGAAGACTAGAAATCCCAAGGGACCTAGTTTACCTAACTTCAGAACTACTAATTAAACCAGAGACATTTACACTGTTCTTGAAGAGATCTCTGAGGCACCATCAAACTGCATTTATACACACCATCCTTTCCAGGGAGTAAGTGCTCCAGGAGTTAGCAACCTGCCAAAGCTCCATGGTTGACACTGGAGGTTGGTTTTGAGCATGGTTCTGATCAGGTTGGAGGAGGTGACCTGAGTGCCAAAGAAAAAGAGCAACCTAGAGAAGGGTAGGAAGAAAGGCCTCCGCTTGATTTTCAACGATGAAAGGCCTGTCCACACAACTTGTTATTGCCCTTGAATCCATTTTGACTCCCAGCAAAATAGCAACCCCATGTAACAAAGCAGCATTACCCCATGGAGTTTTCTTGGCTGTTAACTTTACACCAGGTTTTTCTCCCTCTAAAACCACTAGGTAGTTTCATACTGCCAACCATTTGGTTAACCACCTCACTTTTACACCATCAGGGCTCCTTTGTGAACTAAAGGTTTCTCTTTGTTTTGCAAATAAGCATAAGGAGTCCTTGATTTCTAGTTACTCCACTAGATTGCATAGTAACCTGAGCTGTGCCCAGTTATCACCTACTACAGGGTGGGGAAGGAAAAACTGAAGCTTAAATTAAATGAAAGGAGATAAACGTCGCACATTTCTCAGGTTGCTGATCTTGTCAACCAGAGTCCACCTTATTAGCACTGCCCTGTTCCACCACTCCCATGGAGCCGCTCCTATGTGAGGATTAGTCTCACCGTATCTGAGAAGCTCCGAAATTCCCTTCCTTGGAAGAAAATGAGTTCAATCCTGTCCCTGAGGACAGAAAATTCTGTTCAACTCTCATGGCACAGAACTATTCTGGTGCAGAGAGGGTGTGCCTCACCAACCCTAAAGAGCTAGAATATGAGACCAGCCTGCAAGCTGAAGGAAGAAAATGGGTCACCGAGTTTTGCTGCTTCTGTGAACATGAGGCCCCTCTATGTCTCTGGCAGATATTTGGCCAGTCTAACAGCAACAGCAAGTGGTCAGAAATTGCTGGATAAAAACCTCCTTTCCCAGTGTTAATTTGAACGCTCCTGAAGGAAACACTGATGTATCCTGTTTTCTTTCTTTCTTTTCCCCCCACTTTTTTCTTGTATTTAAGTGATCTCCTTACCAAGGTAGTAGGGCCAGGCACTATTGAATGTACATAAAGTATAAAAGAATAATAATTTCTTTCCAATTCATTTGTGAATATCTGCTTGGCTATACAAATAATACACTGGTTTCCAAGCACTTTAGTTCCTTACCTGTCTGGATTCAGAATGCCCAAGGGAGAAACAGAAGCTTGTAACAAAGGGAGAATTATATAAAGCTTCAGGGAGGCTAACTATATAGAGTAATTAGTGAACATGATAAACCAGCTGTAATTATAGTTTCTAACAGCTGATTCCAAAATTGTATTGTTAATACACCCAAAGAATGTCTAAAGAAATTCTGGTCTTATTTTTTTCTTTGGTAAGTGAAAATGACCAGTAACTTGGTGTGCATGATATAGTTGATGCACTCTTTGTAAATCCTGCTGCTAAAATATCTTTCTGTGAACACTCTGATCGCTACGATGACTTTCTCAATCTCCCACACATTGACCTTTCAAAGAGCTAAATCAATGGCTTTAATTTTTAAGCAATCTTCTCTATTTTTATCTATTTAACGACTGTTTTCTAAACAATACAGAATTTTAAAATGTAATAATTATAAGTTTGAACTTAAATAGCCCAATCATCCAAGGGTCCAAAGCCTTTTTCCTTATTTCACTTATGGTAGTAAAAAAAAAAAAAAAAAAAGACAACATTTTGTCCAAGATGATCCTCAAGATCCTCAAGAATGTACAACTATGGGTGGACTTCCAGCAAAATGGCGGATTGGCAAACCTGCTACACAGTCCTTCTACAAGAAAAAATACCAGAGACCAAAGGAAACATATACAGATGAGAATCCTGGAACTCTGATCATCAGAGAAAACGATAGAAAAGTGGATTAAATACCGACTAGAAAAAGCTGAACAAGAAAACGGCGAGAAAGGAGCCAGACAGGAAAGGCGACGCGGCCATCTTGAACTTTTTCAAGTAGCATTCCATTGAGGCAGCGGCCTGACAATACACACATACACACCCTGGCTGGCGACAAGAAAGGCGAGCTTCTCCCTTGTTCCCCACACCCTCCTGGCGACCAGAAGCGTGGCCAGCCCCCAGCCTCACCTACCCCCTTCACAGCCCTGGTTCTACCCGAGGTCGGAGGCGCTGGTTGGGTGGGCGCCGGACGTCTGAAGGCCTGTGAACGAACGACTGCCTCTTCAGACCCTTTTCAGAAGGCGCTGTGAGGTCCCTGTCCACCCTGAGGGCGGCCAAGCAGGAACTCCTTAAATAACCAACCGCCCCAACCGCCCTGCCCCCACCTGCCCTCTGGGCCTGAAAGAGTTCCTTCTGGGACAAGGACCCTGACCTTAAGACACCACCTGAGCAGGCCTGAACGAATTCCGGATCCTGTGATTTTCGTGTCCGGATCCCAGACAACACTAAGACCTGCAGGAACTCCATGTCAGACTGGGTGCCCCACTCCAGTGGTGTGGTGCCTTCCTTCCCACCCACTCCAGTCTTTTCCTTTTTGTTTTGTTTTGTTAATGCGCTTCTATAATTTTTATCCTTTCTTTCTCTGCTTTCTTTTATTCCTTCTTTTCTTCTGTCTCTCTTTTTCTTTTTCCCCTCCCTTTCCCTTCTTTTTCCTTCTTAATTTTTCTTTCTCTTCTCTTATCTCTTTATCTTTTCTACTTCCCTCTTCCTGGTTGTGTGTTGGTGATTCGTGGAGTCGGTGCCGACTCATAGCGACCCTGTAAGGGGTTTCCGGGAGCAGAAAGCCTCATCTTTCTCCTGGGGAACCGCTGGTAGTTTTGAACTGCTGACCTTGCGGTTCGCTGCCCGATTCGTAACCACTACGCTTACGGGAGCAGAAAGCCTCCCCTGGAACGGCTGGTAGTTTCCAACTACTGACCTTGCGGTTCCAACCGCAGCCTGATTCGCAACCACTATCCTACCAAAGCTAGCTTCCTCTTCCTAGTTTAGTTTATTGTGTATTTTCTTTCTTTCTTTCTTTTTTTAATCTTTCCTCTTCCCTTGGTTTTATTTTTCTTTTAGCTATTCTTTTTTTCTTGGCTGCTGCCTATTGTTTTTTTTCTTTATTATTTTTCCTCTTTCTTTTTTTTGGAGTTGTTTTTTTTTTCTTGTCCCACAACAACCCATGTCCATATGGCCCAACCACACCTGTACCTCTTGAAGTCCACCCACTGCATGAGACCACTATCAGCTACTGTGTCACCTGATTAAAATTAGACAGCAGTCAACACCAGACAGACCCACCCTTAACTGAGCTACCCAGACAGAAAATTGCGCACACTTCCATTCTCTAACACCCCTATCGGAAGTAAGTGGTTAGTGCCTACGAACACACCAACATACATCCATCATTTAAATACAGATACTAAATCACTACAATGTCTCTGAGACAACAGACTATTTTACTTCACACAAAGAAACAAGACAGAATGGTTCAAACAAGTGACCAAAACACAGAACTAGAATAATGATTCTGACAAAGAAATGGTACTGGAACTACCTGATGAGGAATTGAAAATAATGATATTTAGATACCTTCAGCCAATTGAGAGGGAGTTGAGAAATCGAAGAGAACACAGAAAAAAAGCTTTAGAAGAATTCAGGAAAACACTACAAGAACTGACAAAATAAATGAAAAAATTAGAAACCATACAAAACCAGCAAAGAGAATATGCTGTAAGAAATGCAAGTAACTATATATCCTAAAAGAAAAATTTCCTTCAGTAGTCTATAAGCTTTTCATGTTATAAATTTCTCCTGGAGCTATTTCAGATAATTTGGTATTTCCTTTACCATTTCCACAGAAAGATAGGCTGCAAGAAATGATCTAATAAGCATTGGACTGAGTGCTCCTGAGGGAACCACAGAGCAGACCAGACCTTCAGTGTGTCCAAGTGACATTCAGAAGAAATCATGACCAGGGAACAGATCAGAAACTAATGAAAAAGATCATAACGAGACAGCTTTGGAAAATAACTGTGGTGTACCAATAGGTTTGGGGGCATCTACCAGATGCTTCATGGAGTAGCCTCTCTTGGTCCAGGTAGAGGAGGGATATTGAGAATGAACTGA